TACGGATATGTCGGACAGTTTCAGGAGTTCGCCATGAAGGAGCTAACCGGAATCAATGTCGGACAGTTTACAGATCTTGTCGGACCCTTAAAAAGTCCACCCTCAAAAGTGTGCCCAATCTTCAAAAGGCGTGCCATCAAAAGGCGTGCCCAATCCATAAAAAGGCGTGCCATCAAAAGGCGAGCCCAAGTCATAAAAAGATGTGCCGGACATGATGGCGAGGCCCGTCACCACATTGGCTTGCGCGCCCGTTTTGTCGTCTGGCGTCAAGTGGCGCGCGATGCGCGTGTCTGCCTTGGCTATTTTAACCAAGACGGATGCGAAGCTGAGCAGAGGCTAAGACAAAAACTGGCTAAAAACCTTTGAGAAACTCTTCGTTTTCTTGAGAGAGATACTCTGTAACACTCTGTAACCAACCCTTCCTAAACACTCAGCAACCCATAACATGGCCTTCTTCGTCCCCGTATGTCTGCTCTACTCTTTTTCCCGACCTCAACGAGTCAACAAGAGAGTAACTGGTGCGGTTGCCCGTGAACCTCAACCAAGCGCCTCTGGTTTTGCTCCGTTGACCTTCCATGCGGCGGTGGAGCAAAAAATGCGTGCGCAATAGATATTGAGGCCAATCAGTATACTTGAAGTCATGTGTGAGAACCATGACGGGGTCACAAACCTGTCGCACCGGCTGCAGAGTAAGACAAAATGAGGTGCAGCAGTTAAACGCCCAACTGGCTCTTGCTCCAGCGCATGTATAAGGATGCGCGAGCAGAGATAAGTGTGCTAAAGGCGGAAAATAAGGAGCTGAAGCGGAAGGCCACCGTGATGTTCCGATTTGGAGGGCCGCCATATGCTGCAGTGAGGAGCAGGGTGGAGTGATCGTGCCAGTGGAGTGGGAAACACGGAGGCAACACCGTCAAGGGCCACCCAGGACGGAGGCAAGAAGAAAAGACCGCGCGAATAGGCGAAGAAGTGAGGTCGTGGGGTGGCCGTCTGCAGAAAAGAAAACAAAGTTTTGGTGTTGTGTTTGGGTTTGTGGTTTTTTTTTTTTTTTTTTTTGGTGTAAAATTGGGATCGGATGGATCCCTGAGATGAATAAAATATATGGGTTGTGTGCAAATTTTTTAATTTTTTTTTTTTTTTTTTTTTTTAATGAAAAGAAGGAATCGAAAAAAAAAATAAAAATAAATAAACAAATAAGGGATGGTGATGAAATGATGAGCATGGGGATATGATAATAATGAGGAATAAAAAAATAAAGGTGGAGTGGGGAACAGACTCTTAATGGGTTCTGAAACGGTGGGATGAAAAAAAGAGAAATAATATACTAGAAAAAAAATATATATATATATAATAATAATAATAATAATAATAATAATAATAATAAAAAGAATGGGTCAAATTGTGAGTGCGTGGAGAATTATTATTTTAGAGGATGGTGTATGGTCAGCATGATGGATTATGTCTTTGGTGGAGGTTAGATGATGAGTCTATTTTGTTTTTTGGGGGAGTCGGTAAGAACCCTTCCTGAGGCCAATCTTGACCACAATGTCTGATTTTGCTTCTGCAAGAGAATCCCTCAGATTCTGAGCTTGAGCAAGGCCCTGTGAACCCCAACCAATAACACCAATTTGCTTAATGCCCTTGAAGGCATCAGGTAGCAGAGGAAACAGATCCCTCCCTACTCTCACAATATACTCGTCGTGACCAGCGAGAGTAATTTTCTCCGTGTTGAAAACTGAACTGTCGAAATCAAGCGAAGTCAAGGGCTTCATCGCGGGCGTAGAGACCATGCGAGCTCTGAGAGCTGAGCCCGAACCAACCTTATTTCCAGGCAAAAATCGAGATGCTTTGAGAGATTTCAAAGCTGTCTTCGAAGACGAAGATGAGAGAAACCCAAGATTGAGAGGTAGGGTTTTGGAAACTGGCTTTAGGGTTTTGGATGACGAAGATGCAGAACCACCGGCAGCAGCCACTGAGGCAGAGAAGGAAGTAGCAACCGCCGACATTGATGACTCTGGAGAAAAAATCTGCAAAGAGTACTTTGAAGATCTTTTGATGCAACCAATGACTCCGCTGGTGGCTCTGCTGACTTCAATGGCGGCGGCACCGGAAGCAACGTCCTCAGGAGGAGATTCAGAGGACTTGGAATTGAACCACGGTTCAGTGGTTCCTGCAACAGAACCAAGAGAAGAAAGCATTGGATGTGGTGCCGTAACAGGGATCCCACCAAGTAATTGTTGCTTCATAGTTGCACCTGCAAAGTGCTTTGGCTTCATTTCATCTTGAGCAACCTTAAAGGACATGAAATGAGGAAGGGCCGAAACCTTGGTTGACAAGGGCCACTGAACTTGAGTGCTTTGACTTGAATTTGAGTGCTTTGACTTGGATTTAGAGTTGGGTTTGGTTCTAATGTTGCTGGTGGAAATCTGAAATGGAGAGAGACTTCTTGGGTTTGAATGAAGATGAGCAGAGCAACCCAGAGCAACCCTCTGTTTCTCCAAACAATCATCAGGGAGTGGAAGTGAATCTGATTATTACAGATTACTGTATGCCTGGAATGACAGGCTATGATTTGCTCAAGAAAATTAAGGAATCTTCATCTCTGAGAAATATACCAGTAGTGATTATGTCATCTGAGAATGTTCCTCATATGATGAAAACCAAACATTTGAATCAGCAACAACAAGAAGATCAAGATCAAGAAGAATAATTGGTGGCAGCGGAGTGAAGGTATGTGTAGAGGTCCGGCGGGCGGCCAAGGCGAGATTGTCGCCCGCCGGTGAAGCAGAATGACTAGGTTGTTAACCTGGCTCTGATACCATTTAAGAAATCAATGTATAAAGAGAAATAGAGAATTGTATATATATGGATTGTATTATTGATTGATGTATGTTATTTTCTATTACAATGATTCATGATTCCTATATATAGAAGAGGGTGAGTGTGTAGTAGGTAAGGAGTAGGTGAAGTAAATTCTGTAGTTATCTGTATTTATTAAATTCTGTATTTATCTGTATTTATTAAATTCTGTATTTAATAAATTCTATATTTTTCTATTAGGGGGAAAAAATAAATTCTGTAGTTATCAGTATTTAATAAATTTTGTATTTATCTGTATTTATTAAATTCTGAATTTAATAAATTCTGTATTTATCTGTTAGGGGAAAAAAATAAATTCTGTATTTATCTGTATTTAATAAATTCTGTATTAAATGTGGATTATTTTATTTTTTAAATTCTGTCTTTATTTTATTTATTAAATTCTGCTTTTCTTATTTTTATTTTTATTTTATTGAATGTGGATTATTTTATGTTTGAAAATTGAAATGTTATGTAATATGCACTTTCATGGCTTTGAAAGTTATCCTATATTTTGTCTTGAATCTTGAATCTTGATTATTTTTTATTTTTAAAAAAATTGTCTTAGTACTACGAATGATTAGTCTATGTTAATTTTTTTTATTTTTTACTAAAACTGTGCGCCTTACTTCAATAAAGCCCGCGCCTCGCCTTGCGCCTTGGCCCCGAGAGACCTTCAGTGCCTTAGTGCGCCTTGAGCCTTTAAAAACACTGCACGCACACATGCACACATAAATTTTACCTTCGCTCAAGCAAGTGTGTGGAAAAGTTGTGACTTTTTTTTCTGATTGGCATTGGGGTGTCCGGATCAAAGCCCAACTAATCCCAGGGCTGCATAGGCTTTCGGCAAGAAGTTTCCCGCAAGTGCACCACTGTTAATTCAAAGATTTTTCCCCAGTCGGATGGCCCAATGATTTGTTAGCACCTAAGAGGTTTTGATCACTGAACCAGCACACCCCCAAAGACCCAAGGCCTTGCCACTAAGCCAACCCCTTATGACAAGATAGAATGGGTCACTTTTTTGCTATTACTAAGAGGTGGTCCACCCCTTTGAAAACATAATTTCCTTGTGTCTTTTATCACTAATGAAGGGCATGATTCTGTAGCCAGTTAGGGCCAGGGCTGAAGTCAAGGTAAAGTCATTTTGTTGCAGCTCAGGAAACTTTAACTGATATTTTGGGAGGTCTTCTTTCCTGCATAATTTACCTGTGATAAGTTGATAGCCTATTCTCCCCCGTGCAAGTATTTCAGAAGGTAATTGTTTTACCTTTTCTTCCGGATGCATAACCAAAGGAGACCTCAGAACCACATTAGCATGTCCTTGAGAGCTATCCCCTTTCCTAGAACTTGCTTTGAGTTGTGAATAGTTCCAGGGAACATGTTGTATTGGTTGCTAAGCAATTAAAACCCCAAGATATAGAAGACAAAAATTCACTGTTTGTAAAATGGCAGGCAGGTTGTGGTGACAGAAAGGAGAAAGAAAGTAGTACATAGATCATTGTGACTGAGAATCTACTTCATTCAGCATCGTCTGGCTAATAATATCTGTGAAACTATAAGCAATTTTTTTTTTGATCGGTGTGAAACTATAAGCAATTGATGCTGTTAAACTTTAATTCATGACTAATTCATTAGTGAAATGCCATTACTGGTAGTGCTCCTCTCAAGGGGTACACAGGGTACAAATTGAAGTCTGACTATAGAGCCCAATGGCCCAATGGGCCTGTCCTTAGAATTGAACCGACGTTCATCTACATGTCAACACCGGTTTTTACATTGGAACAAAGTTCCATCATTAAACAATTTAAACTGTTGGACTATCTAGAGCAGAGAAAGGTGTATTCTGTCCAGTGACTGATGAGTTCTAGTTTCTACAGTTGTTGCACAAGGAAATCTGCAACCGTTTGCCGTTGGAAAACTTATTTCTATATGTTCAACTCTTAGTTGTTAGATTGAATACTCACTCATATATTTGTTTCCTGAACCCAATTGGTTTTGGGAATTGGGATTACAGGTTCTAAGTATTTTCTCATTCGTTATCAGAAGTCAATTACCAATTTTCAAGCTAGTTTTATTTTAAACCAAACTTATTATTGTTTGTGTTTTATGGGTTTATGCTTTTTGATTATTATTTTCTTGTGTAGGAGACCCACCACAATGGAGGAAATTCTTACAATTGAGATCAAGCCAGGTTGGAAGAAGGGAACAAAAATAACATTTCCAGAGAAGGGAAATGAACAGCGAGGTGTTATACCCTCAGACCTTGTCTTCATTATTGATGAGAAGCCTCACAGCGTCTTCAAGAGGGATGGCAATGATCTCGTTGTTACCCAGAAGATCTCCCTTGTGGAAGCTCTGACTGGTTTCACTTCACAGATCACGACCCTTGATGGCCGAAATCTGACAGTTGCTATCAACTCTATCATCAGTCCCACCTATGAAGAAGTTGTTAAAGGGGAAGGTATGCCCATCCCAAAGGAACCTTCCAAAAAAGGTAACTTGAGAATTAAGTTCAACATCAAGTTCCCTACGAGGCTTACTTCGGAGCAGAAAACTGGGATTAAGAGATTGTTAGCATCATGAACATTATTGCTAGTGCTTTCTACCAACCTCATGTAAGCTTTCGTTTGTGTTCCTTTGATTGCCTTTTATTCTGGAAAGGAAATTCATGCGTTGCTGAATTGGAGATTTCGTCGAAACAGTTGTTTAAAAGTTTTCTTTTATTTATCAAAAAATATTTGTTATGTGGCTGCTATGCTGTCTCTTTTGCTTTCTGTTCTTGTTTAAAAGAAATTTTCCTTGACCTTCTTGACTCGATAATCCGTGGGTCATTGGAATCTTAAAAAATCTATGCCCTTTCTAAACTCAACCTCCTTGGTGCTATTGATAGAATTGCACAACATCATCAGAAACCCATTCCTGCAATTGCCTTCTTTGATATTGGTGCCGCCGCTTCAATCCTAAGCCCCTCCGTCTTACCCTGATCAGTAATTTGGTCTTGATTTTTCTTATACTGAGGATAAGAAATGAATTTCCTGACACCAGAAATGGGAAATTAGATACTTCAGCTTCGGTATCGTTACAGGAAAAGGGGTGTTTAACCGAGAAGAACAAGACGGGTGAATTTCTAGAACCCTTAACTGCTTTCGCTGAAATTTCTTCACTTTCAGCTCTGCTGGTTAAACCCTTATGCAAACTCTGATTGGTGATTTGGACAAAGTTGCCAACAACAAACTGACATCTTAACCTGGCAGAGCATATGTCCCTTCATTCTGACTGATTTTGAAGGGCTGGAAAATGACATGAAATGGAACACTTGGTTACTATATATTCAGCTTGTTGGGTTTGAGTTGGTTTAGGTCCAAGTACTTGGATTGAAGCTGTTTGCCTGTGAAAAAGTTTGATCTGTTGTGGCTGCAAGTTTTTTTGTTTTTTGTTTTTTTGAACAAAGATATTTGATGTTACACATTTTCAATTGAACATTGTTGGCATGCATTGATCTCAAGTAAGTGGATAGTGTAGTTAAAGTGTAGTGAAATCAGTTTTCTCCTATGAATGTAATAGTCATGGACTCAGACCAGTGTAAAGGCTTGTTCGCCTGAGACTCTACTAATTAAGATTTTGAGGAAAGCTTGACATATGTTTATATCTGTGCAGTTCATGTAGATAGAGATGAGGTGAAATAATCTTGTAGTATATGTGAAACATGTTTTGTAATTTGATCATGAAGTGGAAAGAGTTGGTTCAATATGCTAAGATTTGAGGGCAGAGCTGGCAATAATATGCATAACTTGGCCAGATCAAATGGGATGGAGTTTTGGCAATTTGAGTTTTCTTGAACTGAGTCCAATCAATTTATAAGGCCTCAGTCATGTTGATTGCTTTTGCCATAGCATTTCCCCGCCTCTAAGCAGAAAAGACAACAATAAAAGTGCCTGTATGCAGGTTTTGAATTCAAAACATATATCAAAATTATTCAGTGTCTTAGTGATAATGCCAAAAAAAAAAATAAATAAATAAATAATTTCTCTACCATCTCATGCGAGATTGACGCATATGTTTATCACTAATTTTGTGTAAATATATATCATATTAAAATATAATTATCCAATACATAATAGACGCCATTAAAATCAAATTATAGATTAACATTCTCTTCATTTTTAAATGATGGCAACATGCATCCAGCACTTGGATGTTTTGGGAAGATGGTGAAAAGCTTACTTTTGATTTTTTACCAAGTTTTTTGGTTTTTTTGAAAAGTGATTTAAGAAGTTGATAAAAAGCTGCTTTAGGCTTTTTTTTGTTAATAATTATTTATGATGTCACATCACAATAGAATGACCAAATTAACCCTACCCAATTTAGTAAATTTACATTTTTACCTAAGTATAACCCTAAATAATATAAAGGGCATAATTGTAATTTCATATATAACTTTTTTGAACTTCCCAAATCATTTCAGGCTAAAAAATCCAATTTTTAGCTTTTTATCCCAAGCTGCAAAAACGCAGCTTTTAAACTTGGTTCCAAATGGACACTAAAACTGTTGGGTTCGTGTAGGATATACTCTGCAGTAATTTGAAAAGTTGATAAAAAGTCAATTTTTTTGATTTTTTATTAATTTTTTTTAAAAAAATATTTAAAAAGTCAATTTTTTTTTTTTACAAAAAAAGACACTAAAAAAATTAAAAAATTAATTTTTATCAACTTTTCAAAACACCCTACGTGATATTATCATGTAGTAAACTCTATTTATATCTTTTCAGTTGTGTAATAATTGCGATGGGTAGGTAGGGTTCAATGGCGGGTCTAGAATTTTTTATTGATGGGCTTATGTAAAATTTTAAATACTAGTCCTACATGTTTTTAGGTCAATGTTGGGAGGTTGGAAGTGGAAATTTATTTTAATTTTACATTAGGTTGTAAGATAAGGTGGGAGATAAGACAAAATTGAGAGTGGAAACTTACGAGTCTCATATTTATTTTAATTCTATCTATGTTTGATTGCAGGATAAGATGGGCAGATTAGAGACGGAGAACATATAAATTTTATATTTATTTTAAGAATAAAGGTTGAGACTCCCTTGACCTTTTTAGTTTTGATTGGTCAATTTTTTTTTTTTTTTTTCAAGGATCCTCTAGAGTATTTTTTTCCTAAAGTTTCCTAAAGTGGTGTATTGTGTGGTTGAGATTTAATGTTGAAAAATTGATGTGACTTGTCATTAAATCTCAACCACACAATGCACCACTGTAGGAAACTTTAGGAAAAAAAAAACTCTAGAGGATCCTTGCTCGTGTGTGAGGGGGTTGTGGGGTAGGTGTTCTAAGGGGGTCTAAATCAATGCCCTTATTTTAATCACATTTCTAACAAATACACCCTTACATTAATAAAGATCATGTATTTATTTTTGACAAATATATCCTTACATCAAGGCACTTTGGGAAAAAACTAAAAAGTCAAATTTTGATTTTTTAATCTTTTTAACTAAATAAGTCAATTTTTTTACTAAAGAAGTCACTAAAAAAGTTAAAAAATCAATTTTTTACTAACTTCTCAAAACACATCATAAAGATCACGAAACATTACTAAACAAATAAACAAATTATATTTTATTTTTTTAAAATTGAACAACAATTATAAATTTAAATTTAAATCTAAATCATTAACAAAATATAATGTGTATTTATCTCTATCTATTACAGAGCCTATCTCCAGGTCAAAACGGTTTTGAGTAGGGGTTGACTTGGGGTCTTGCAGAGCTTTGCTTATCTAAACAAGATCTTGTGGGGTCTCATACATTACATATAAACATATAGATACACACGCTACACTGCACACCCAAAATCACAATCATTTTAGATTTCTTCGCCACCACCCAATGATATGAATTGCAACCCTACATACAAAATTCAAAGTCTCGAGTTTCAAATCTCTGGACTCTCTCCGTTCCCTTCCCTTTGATAATTCCGAAATATATATCTCACAATCAACCACCACTCTCTGTTTTATAGGCAGTCGCCCATCGCTTTTGCTCCGCAATCAGATTTATCATTACTGTTCGAAAATCTTCGGACTCTCTCTCTCTCTTTCTGTTTTTGTCTGAATCATCAATGCGTAGGAGGGTTGTTGATAGAACGTTTGATTCCGATATGGGTTCGACTGGTTCGGATGGGTCTGGAAAAGAGCGTCTGAAATGGACGCTTGAACTTCACGATTTGTTTGAGATGGCAGTGAATCAGCTTGGTGGTCCTGATCGTAAGTTTTTGAAACCCTAAATTTTGGAACCAATTTGTGTTGTGATTCATGATTTGGGATGGGTTTTTATGATTTAGGGTTTTGTAAATTTTATTTTATTTTATTGTGTTTGTGTGTGTGTGTGTTGTGTTGCAGGGGCAACACCAAAAGGTATTCTCAAGGCAATGGGGATTCCTGCACTAACCATCTACCATGTCAAAAGCCACTTGCAGGTTCTCTCTGTCTCTCTCTCTCATGCATATATGATGATCAATTTGTATGTTTATAGCAGAATTGCTCTAAAAATGTTGGATTTGTTTTGGTTATGTTTGAATGTTGAATTTTTCAGCAATGATACATTCCTAATTTTGGAGCTCTAATCGAGTTTTGATGAGAAAATTCAAAAAAAATAAAAAAATAAAAAAATCAGAATATCAATGAATGGGACTCACCCCTAAACCTCTCATATTTTAAAACTCCAAAATATTTTTCTTTTTCTTTTTTTTAGGGATGTTGGATTTGTTAAAGGAAATAAAATGTTAGGGAAATGATGTTTGTAATGTTTATTTTTTTGAATTTTTTAATCCAGATTTTTTTTTTATTGTGAAAAAATAAAAAAAAACAGAGGATCCTCTGGTTGAATTCTAAAGTTAATTGCAAACTAGTAAATTTTATATTAGCTCATGTGAATAAGTATGTTAGTTATTAATTTTGCAAACAGAAATGTAATAATATTAATAATGTTTCTAATTGATTAAAAGAATAGGTAATTACCTAAAAGTCTTATTTATAAATGTTATGATAGCTCAGGTTCTATCTAAATTTTTTTGAACCAATAAGTCTTTTAGTAAAACTGTCAGTTTTTCCAATTTTCAAAACTAAGAATATTATCAATCTTGCATAGTAATGTTTCAGATAATTGTTTCACTAACTGATGAAAAAAAAGAGAGCATGAGAGTATGTTTTTGTCTTTCTACCTATTAGTTTGATTCAATTAAACACTTGGGTTTAAAAAAAAAAAAAAAAAAAAAAAAAAAAAAAACAGAGGATCCTCTGGTTGAATTCTAAAGTTAATTGCAAACTAGTAAATTTTATATTAGCTCATGTGAATAAGTATGTTAGTTATTAATTTTGCAAACAGAAATGTAATAATATTAATAATGTTTCTAATTGATTAAAAGAATAGGTAATTCTTATTTATAAATGTTATGATAGCTTAGGTTCTATCTAAATTTTTTTGAACCAATAAGTCTTTTAGTAAAACTGTCAGTTTTTCCAATTTTCAAAACTAAGAATATTATCAATCTTGCATAGTAATGTTTCAGATAATTGTTTCACTAACTGATGAAAAAAAAAGAGAGCATGAGAGTATGTTTTTGTCTTTCTACCTATTAGTTTGATTCAATTATCCAATAAAACCGAGAACATTATCAATTTTTTCATTTTTAAAGTTTTTTTTTTTGTTTTTTTGTTTTTTTTTGCATATCAATGTTCCATCATCATGCTCTTTTATAGACACAAAATTTTCACAAAAAAATAATTTAGTTTTTCAATTTTTTGCGTATAATTTTTTTTAGTTTTTTTAATTTGAAAGTTGATATTTTAAAATTTTGAAAATCAAAATAAATGTCAAATCATCATGTTCTTTTATAGATAATTATAAATGATGAACAATAGGGCAATTTCGACTATTAAAAATTTAATGAGACTTAAAAGGTGTAAAAAATCTTAGTTAAGACTTAATGAAATATAAGTTCATAAATTAAAACTTGTGTTTAAATGCTCTTTAAAAGTATCCTAAAATAAGAAATTTGTTTAATCGGGTGAGATAAAAACTATGCCACAACAATGTTTCCAATTGATTAAAATAATCCTAAATATCTTTAATCAGATGAGATAAAAAGAGTGATTGGCATGAGATGACCCAATCAAATATTTACTTTATAATTAACTTCACAATTGACTTCAGAGTATTGAGAGACTTATTTTTCTGGGTATTTAAACAATAAGTTGATTTTTTTTTATAAGTAATACCTATTCATTTTATTTTCATTTCGTAGCTCAACTAGAAAAAGCTTCGTTTTCTTCTCCTATATTTTTTCTTTGATTTTTACTCCACAAAACTAAGACCTTAATTCTGAAAATGCAATGGATTATTGAGATATAGGATTAGGTGTTCTGTGGCTATCAAGATGGTGGTTCTTGAGCTTTCTGCCTTGGATTGCTTTAGGTTTGGCTTGTCAAAGTTTTATTTTTTTGGTTGTGTTTGGATAATGAATTTAGAAAAGGAAAAAGAAAATGTAACTGAAATGTGAATGAAATATAATTACGTTTCATCTATATCTCACCCACCTTTTCATTTCTCTTTCCAAATGTCTACTCAAATTCATGATTCAAACACAACCTTAGTCTCTAATACAATGAAGTTCCATTTTTCGTGTCTCACTTGGAGCCAAGTTCCTTTTATTTTGAACTATGAAGTACGGGTACGAGTACTTGTACTGGTACAATACAGGTATGTCGATACGGTTAAATTCTAAAAAAATAGAATATGGGTATGGCTTGATACGCTTGTAAAAAAATATTTATTTTTAATTTAAAGTAATGCAAAAATTAATTAAATGGTTTAATTTGTTAAGGTCCAACCTATAATTAACATTTAATGCCAAAAGTAAAGGTATAAATCAAAATTAAATATCAATATATTAAATGGCTTACAAACTATAGTTTAATTTTAAAATCATGCCAAGTATAAAACAAAAAATAAAAAAAAGAAGTCTAGTGAAAGGAGTTTAATCTCTGTAGTAGAAGAAAATATTATTTCGACTGAGGTACGGTATGACTTGGGTATATACTAGATACGGCTGGTATATCAAAAATTAAGAAGAACAAAATTGGGTATGTTTTTTGTATATCCGGTACGTATACAGAAGTACCATACAAGGTGCGATACGCCGGTAAATATCCGGTACGGATACGGCATGTTTTTTGAAGTACCTATGCTTCATAGATTTTGAACAATCGCAAACCAGTAGTTTATCTTTTAAATTCTGAATTATAGAGCCATGACATGAAGCTTTAAGGTTCGTTGTGCCAACATTTTTGATTAATGAGTTTTTTGCTTTTTGTTTTGTTTTCAGAAATACAGGATATCAAAGTTTATTTCAGAATCATGCAGTAGTAAGCCTGGCTACCTTACTCACCAATTATCCATTAGGATTTCTGCTTCAAAATTTTACTTTTCTTTTTACAGAAACTGCAAAGAAATTACTTTTCACCAATTAAATAATTTTTGCTTTTTCCTTTACAATATGCAGGAGGCAAGTTTGAGAGGAGAAACATTTCTGAAATGATGCCAAACTTCAGCACAACATCGTGAGTTTTTTTTTCTTGTTTCTTCTCATGGCTTCTTGAAAAAATGTATCCATTACAAATATTAGCTCATCTTATTGTTGCTGTGATTGTGTAATCGGTGTAGAGGTGCTCAGCTTAACGAAGCATTGCAAATGCAGAAGGAAGTAGAAAGTCAATTGAGTGATCAACTCGAGGTAGTACTTCTTATGTTAAAAAACTTAAATGCATAAATTCAAGACTATGTTATGTGGACTCTTCTAGGAGTCGTGTCCAACATATTTAGTTGGACATGCACACCTAACAAATATAATTAAAAGTAGTAGAATTTACTATGATACTATGCATAAGACTCCCATTCTAAACGTATTCTATGTTAGTTTATAAACACCATATTTGCCTAAATAAATGAAATAATTATTTAAAAGTATGAAAACACTTGTAGTGTCATGTCATTAGGTATGTATGAGAATTATATAAATTTGACACACTCCATTTGGATTGTGAGGTGAGAAAAGAAAAGAAATGATTGTAATTTCTGACTTAAATGTGAAGAAAAAAAAAATGATTATGGTTTTTTATCCACAAGTGAATGATAAATTTCATTCTCTCTGTTTTTTTTCTTTTATTTTCTCACCCAAGCCCTCAATGCAAATGGAGACACCCATATTGAGTCCATGTAACATTGGCCTAGGATGTTTTAGCAAATAAGAAAAGGAGACAAACAAAATAAGTAGGTGTTTGGCATGCACTAAAAAAGTGTATTTTTTTTGCATACATATACTTATTTGGGTCACATTAATTTTATTAACATTTCCTCTCTACTTTTTTACGCATTTTCGCTATTTTTTTACAAATTTTTTGATATAAAAAGTCAAAAAGTGCATTTATTTATAACATCCTGAATCACCCCTAAATAAATTAAAAGGGAATAAGAACATTGAAACTAATATTAATTTAGATCATTTATACTAGTCCTTTTTACTAGTCTTTTTGTTTTTCCATTAAAGATTCAAAGGAGCTTGAAACTAAAAATCGAAGCCCAAGCAAGATTTCTACAGGGAATTGCGGAAGATTTCAAAAATCGAGCTATCATTTCAAAACATGGCAAGGCCTTTTCACCTATATCACCACCTTCCCTTTGTGAAGAATCCGACTCATTTGGCAAGGAATTTGAATCCGGCTCAGAGATAGACAAAGCTGAAATCACCTCCGAAGAAGAATATCGAGCTCCAAAGAGGCTTAGGATAGAGGAAAACGTTTTGATGTCAAGATATATGGTACCATCACTGAATTCTGAATCTTTTAATCAAAGCATGCTTCTTCAGCATGGAGCCAGAGCACGATATTCAGCTTATGAAACCCACTTTCCATGGAGTGTTGCAACCTACAAATCGCCTTTAATGCCATCTTTATATTACCCTTATAATTATTAGCCTATATGTTTTTCGCTAAGATAAAATTGCTACAGAGAATGGTGCTGTTCATTGTGCAGATCTATGAAACGGTATGACTTGGGTATATACTAGATACGGCTGGTATATCAAAAGTTGTTTGTGTTTGAATGTACTTTATGCGATGCTTAATTATTGTGTTTGCAGTAAATGATATTTGTTATCAAAATTGTGTATATTAGAATTATCCCAAACTGTATATTCAAATCATGATGGTTACGCCAGATTAAGTTTCATAGAACAGCTTGAAGTTGGATTTCTTGGAGTCTACTTGGAAGAATTTGACTATTATGTTCTCGACTCAGATAGAAAACTCCCTCTCGAAAACTTAGTTACACCCCCTAATAATTGAGTGAGATGATTGAGGTAACACTAATGTATTGTAAAATCGGGTGGGTTAGAGATCAGACTAGACTAATCTGAGGTACTTCAGCCCAAGATTAACTTAATGAAGTTAGGTTCGGCATGGATTGCTTGCATTTTGGTTGTTTTCACCTACTCTCATAGCCTTCAACAACAAAGAAATTTCCAATAAAAAAATATAATAATAATTTAAAGTAAAATACACATGAAAATTAAATGAAGGAAAATGAAAGTGCCATACATATATGAGTAAAAATTATATCTTTCATCACCAATACATAATATTGCTCTTCAATAATAAACTATTATATGAGATAATGAATCTCATTATTCAGCCGTAACTATCAAATCCTAAATATCCAATAATTATTACATTTATATTGAATGATAATATTAGATGTCATGTTCATAATAATGTGTTATACGAATATATTAAACTGTTTTTTTTCTTAAGTACATAGATTGGGCCAAGTATCATTAAGCTTAGGGTTGGATCAAGCTCAAGTTATGCATACATAAATCTAATGTAAGGGAAGTTATTTAGTAGATTAGACCCATAACATGGCATTGTATCCACTCAACAATAGAGGACATATAACCAACTTGTTAAGAAAAAAAGTAAAAAAAAGGACTCTAATTATGTGAGTTTCTACTACTGATAAGGGACATCATGTATACTATAAATCAAACCAATTAAATGCTTTCTCCCAACGTAGAACTTGAGCAAGAAATACAAGAGGTGAAAACGAGAAGCTCTATTGAAAGCAAATGTTGGGTGTGTTATGGGAACATATGCCAACTATCGATTCAATTCTCATATGAGATGGTGTGTTTTTTTTTTCAAAAATGAAATACGTTCTCTCAAAAATAGGAAGGGGATGTTGCTCGAAGAATATAAAGGGTATGTTCGGTTTGAATCTCAAAACATTTTTTTAAAAAAAAAAAAATTCAAAAATATGTTTGGTTGAAATATTTTGGAAAAACATTTCAAAATTACTTTTTTCTTTATTACACATCAATCAATCACTTTTTCTTTCACCTCTCTCGTTCTCGATCACTTTTTCTCTTACACTCACCTATTCAATTACAAAAAAATATCAAATCATCTCAAATTCTAAACTATTTTCAAAATATACAGCCAAATAAATTTTTAAATTTTTTGAACTCTCTCAAAAAAAATATTTTTAAAATAATATCTCAAAACACAAACTAAACAAGGCCAAAGAATTCATTGTGTGGGTTGTGGCTGAATATCGAGAGGTAATTTTGGTAATCTTACAGTAATGCTTCATACTATTCAACTTGTGACACTTCACTTCTATTTATTCAAAAACAACACAAAAATATTAAATCCAACTATCTTCTATTTTAATCAATAAAAGAAAGTAAAAAAATAATTTTCCTATCACATATAAAAAACCCAACGTCCAAATTCTTACAATGGGTACGTCATTGCTTTAAGTAAACTACTGCAATAAGAAAACCATGTGATTTTTGTCTCCCTCTTCTCTCATGTTCTAATCAGACAAAAGCGAAATGTCAAAAGTTTTGACAATAGGTTTAAAGCACTAATTAAACGTATAATTGCCCAAGTACTATTGTCTGTATTAATTTTCAAAGTCATGTTTTATCTTTCACTCTTGTTCATGAAATTAGAGGTCTTGTTCATGAAATTAGAGGTCATTTGCCAATTGCATATTTTAGTTAAGCAAACAAATTTTCAATTCATACAAAAAAAAAAAAAAAAAAAAATTTAAAAATTTTTTTTAAAAAAAAAAAAAATATTAAAGATTCTTTTTGGGAAAAATAACCCATCAATGGATGGTTGAAAAAAAATTTCAGATTAATGGTAAAGTTTATAAATTTTAATTATTAAAATCATAAACTTTTCTATGAACATATAATTATTTTTGAAAGCTTCACCCGATCTATAATTTCTATTTCTTTTATTCTACTTTTTACACATTTTTCATAAAAAATTAAAGTCACTTTTAAATAAATAAATATTTTTTTATCTCGTATTTTAGTCATTTTTTTTTTAAAATTACTAAAAAACCAATTCGCAAATGGGCTTAGCTTACTTGTATCGAGTTCGGATCATTTGGATAAACCCACATCGAATTCTGTAGCGGAGCAGTGATTTTTTAGAGTAATGTTAGAGTGATTTTTATATGATTAAAATTTTATTCTACAAAAATTGAAGGTACAATAGGATTGATTCTCACTTAAAAAAAAAACAAATTCAACACTCCTTTATCAGACGTTATATATAAGTTCGAGTCTTATCAAGTGTGATTTTTTCCCCTTATTCACTTCTTAATAACTGTAAAAAAAAAAAAAATACAATACAATACAATACATTTATAATAAATCTTTGGGGAAAAATGTTAATTAGGATGAGTTTAGTGAAAAAAATTATAATTTGATCTTTTAATATTATAAAGTTTTCCACAAAGGTAATATTGATTTAATAACTATAGCCATTAATTTGATTATCTTTTTGACAGTAAATGTGATCAAATTATGAGGTTATGATCATTAACTCAGCAAAAATTCCCCCCCTTTATGAATGAGTTATATAAATAATTTTAAAAAATAACTAAATTAATCACCAAAATAGGTCACTTAACAGACAAATCTACATAGACAATCAACAAGGCTAGTCTGTTGGCCAAATCCTTGCACTTTAGAAGATCAGTGAATCAAGCATCTCCATTTGAGTGTAGGTTTTAATACCTATGGAGAGGAAATAAAAATAAGCATAAGAATTATGTGGGTCCATGCATTGCCACGTGGCATGGTTATGGATTATCATGTATACGACAGTTATCAAATTTTTATCAAACACTGCATTAGTGTTTTATGTTATGCAAAACTTATCAGGATATGAAATCCTATTGATATAGAAGTCCTGAATAATCGGAGATTGTTTGGGATAGGATTTCTGGAACATTCAAATTACTTGAGAAATAAGTCATTGGATATTATAAATAGGCAACACCCTTATGGGTTGAGGTACGCAATTTCTCTCTATGAATTACTCCATTAAATATTTTGATAATATTGGAGGACTAACTTGGGCGTCAGAGGGCCCCGGTTACGGCTGGGAGTGTTTTGTCTTGCAGATAGTGATAGCGTGGTGGTGCTGATTCATCTTCTTCGTTGGATTTCTTTATTAACAAGTACGTGATTTTTCTTTGTCCATATAATTGGCGCCGTCTGTGGGAATCGACTAAATTTTACAAAGAAGATGAATTCACAGTTGTCAACACTAAGATACATCAACATTAATTTTAAACTGCAGCTAGAGATACATTAGAACAGGTTATGGCATAAACCTTTTTAAATTCAAGTTGAAAGAGATTTGTTCATATGGTATTATTTGTTTGGATGTATCTAGTGTTAACCATCCAACGAATCACGAAAGAGTATTAAATTGGCTAAGGGACATATTCCCAAGCCATGTAAAGCAATATGTCCATAATGATGCTGTAGCAGCTTTGTTAGTGGGACAATGCGTAAGCTTCGTGGATGCAATTCGATTGCCCCTGAATTTAATTTGGGTCACATCGAGTAGTACTATAGCCTAACATCACCAATTTTATTTGAGAGCATAAATCTTATGCATTATATCGGATTTTTATTATCTACGACGTATGAGTTTTATGCATTATCATGCTGGATATGGAGGTATTATTATCAATTATTATTCTACGGAGCATAGATTTAATACATTATGTCGAATTTTGATTATCTATGGAGTACGGAGTTTATGCATTATTATCCCAACCATGAATACATGGAAGATCAAATTATTATATCAGATTTTTATTATCTGAAAAATATGATTTTTTATACCAAACGTGGATGAAGACTATCATTTAGGTCAAATATGCTGAGATGGAGTTCGCACTTTATGGATCATGGAGGCAATATGAATTACCCTGCTCTTTGCTTACAAATTTTATCTCTTTGCCATGCTGGTTTGGGCAAGAGATAAGTTGGTAGATTTGACCAACTTGAAAAATCTTTATTGAGCAAGTTTTGCTTGGTGAAGTAGATTGGCAAATTTGGCAAATTTTGAAAATCTTTATCGAACAAAGTAGGTTGGCAGATTTGACTAATTTGAAAAATCTTTGTCGAGTGGATTTTGCTTGGTGAACTAGATTGACAGGTTTGACCAATTTTGAAAATCTTGGTCGAGCAAAGTAGGTTGGCAGTTTTGACCAACTTGAAAAATCTTTGTCGAGCAAGTTTTGCTTGGTGAAGTAGGTTAGTAGGTTTGGCTAACTTTGAAAATCTTTGTAGGGCGGGTTTTGCTCAGCAAAGTAGGTTGGCAGGTTTGACCAGCTTAAAAAATCTTTGTCGAGAGGGTGTTGCTTGGTGAAGTAGATTTGCAAGTTTGACCAATTTTGAAAATCTTTGTCAAGCAAAGTAGGTTGGTAGGTTTGACCAACTTAAAAAATCTTTGTCGAACGGGTTTTGTTTGGCGAAGTAGGTTGGCAGGTTTGACCAACTTGAAAAATTTTTGTTGAGCGGGTTTTGCTTGGCAAAGTGGGTTGGCAGGTTTGACCAACTTTGAAAATTTTTGTAGAGCAGGTTGGTGGTTTGTCCAACAGTGGGATTCCTTTGTCGAGCAGGTTTTACTTGCCAATAAGCAAGTTGGTGTTTTGGTAGTTCC